GGGTCGGGACTCCTGGGTCCGAGGGAGGAGGGTTGGGGGCCTAGACTCTTGGGTCTGAGAGAGGAGAGGCTTTGGCTGGGACTCGTGGGAGCAGAGAGAGTTAGTTGCTGGGGGCCTTTTCTGCAAAAGGAAGGGAATATTCGTCTCAGTGTTTCAGTCTTTGAAGATGTTGCAATAGATGGCCAGAGGTCCAGGACCCCTGGAGGCCAGAGGGTGGCTGGTCAGACACTCAAGTCCCCCAAGAGCCTATAAGGGGAGAGGCAGCCCCAAGTAGGGTGAAGGGAGGGTGGAGGAAAGACAAAGTTTTAGGAGGCGGCAGCCCTTTGGTCCTTATCTAGCCTCTAACATTTACCTAATGCCTTAGATGCAAAGGGCAGAAGAAACTGGCTGGGGTGGGGATGGGAAATGGGAAACAAACCTCTTTCCCACCTGCCTCCCCCATCCCACCCCCAACCCAGTCTCCACTGTCAACAAGCCCAAGTTCTCCCCACATCTACATGCCGATTAGTCAGGGAAATCGTGTCAGGGTAGGCTTACAGTGGCCTGGACTCCTAGGTACCAGGGGAGGAGGGGCTGGGTCCTGGACTCCTGAGTCTTGAGGAGAAGGGGGCTTGGAATATCTTTGGGGCAGAGGGGCTAACTCTGAAGATCCTGGCGAGTCGGGAAGGGGAAGGTGGGGTCAGGACAGGTCTCAGCAGGCCCCTGTCACATTCCAGCCCTGGTCAGGCCAGTGATCAGGGCAGATGAAGGACAAGGGTTGGAATAAGTGGCTTGAGGGGAGAACAGACTTGCTCAACAGGAAAGGAGGGGCTGGAGACCTCTCTGGGGGAAGGGTTGTGGAACTGGGCTGGTCGGGCCAGCAGTGGACACTGATTTGAAGGTCGGGTAGATTCCTGAGGGTCTGATGCTCTGACTTGGATCTGGAGGGTGTGGTGGGCAGCTCTGGAGTGACCAGGAGCCACATGGAGGGTCAGGCAGCAGCTTCCTCTGGCTGGCGGCGGGCACTGAGGGGGTGGGGCCACTAAATCCCATGCCAACAGGAAGCGTGGCCGGGGCCTGCCCTCCGCTCCCATGCCGAATCACCACGCCCGGCAGCTGAGGTGGGAACACGATGACCCTGGCAGATGGGAAGAGACGGGGGTCCTTCCTACCCCACCTCCCCCTCTGCTTTCTCACCCCTAACTTCTCCCTGTCCTCCACCATGGCCAGGTCACCGTCTCTATCAGTGGGACCCTGGGAAAGCTGTTGCAACTCTCTGAACCTCAACCTCCCCATCTGTAAATTGGGGTGAGGGTTAAAATACATGACCCTAAGGGTCATCCTCTACCCTTTTTAATGTTTTTTTTTTTTTTTTGTAGAGGTGGGATCTTGCTTTGTTGTCTAGGCTGGTCTTAAACTCCTGGACTCAAGCAATCCTCCTGCCCTAAAGTGCTGGGATTACAGGCCTGAGCCACAGCTCCTCAGTCCCTGTTTGAGGGATCTGTTAGTAACATCCACATCCCCTTCCCACCTCCATCTCAATCTAATGAACTCATTTCTGCAAAGGACCCAGACACCTGCTCCCCAGGGGGAGGGGCTGGCAGAGAGGCAGGTACCAAGCCCTAGGGAGTCCAAGGGAACCAGATAGAGAGATCCAAACGCACCAGGTGGGGTGGGGGAGGGGGGATGGGAAGAGGTACGGAGAGAGACAGAGACACAGAGATACATGGAGAGAAAAAGAGAGATGGAGACAAAGATGCAGAAAGAGACAGAGAGGTATAGCTAAAGAGAGACAAAGGGCTGTGAAGCTGCTGAGAAATCCACTAGTGAGAGATACACACAGGGCGTTAGAAAAGCCAAGAGAAACAGAGACCCTCAAAACACATGGAGAGACAGAAACAACCATCCCTAGAGACAGGGAAATTCAGAGACCAAAGTATAGGCCCAAGTGCGGACAGGTCCAGGATTTGGGGGAAGAGGAGTTGGAAAGGTAGAGGGGACCGCCAGAGAAGCGAATTGCAGTGTGGGGAGGGGGCTTGTGTTTAGTGGTGTGGGGGGTTGAGACAGACTGAAGAAGGAGGCAGGGAACCAGGGAGCCATAGATGGTGGGGGAGGGCTGGTGACAACACCACCATTGTTCAGGTCGGAGGTAGGGGAACAGGCCCCTGGGGCAGGAAACTGGCCCTCTTCCCCTGCTCAGAGGCGGGGCACTGGCCCAGCCCGGGGAGCTGGCAGCCCTTTTAGGAGAAACAGGTGCAGTGCTCTGTAAGGACACCCAGGTGGTCCCCATCCCCCTGCAAATAACCCGCCAGGCTGGGGCCAACCCCTCTTAGGAAATCCAACAGCCCCAGTCCCCTCTAAATCCCTCTCTCCAGGATCCTAGATTCCTCCAAGGTTGTGCCACACAAAGAAGTGGGGGTGGGGGGGAAGCAACAACAATCTCTCTGTGGTTTCTGGAAGCCCTGTGCTTCCGGCCAGATCTGCCCTGGGCTTAGAGCCAGAAGAGAGGGGTGGGGTGGGGGCGGCAAGGTTCAGGGGCAGAACTGAGGGGGCTGTCCCAGAGCTGAGGCTTGGTGCTCAGACCTTGCTCTCTGGATGAGGGCAGGGAAGGGTGTGATTCAGTCCTTGAGGACTGAATGGTAGTTTCTGTGTTCTTCCAGATTTGGGGTTGGGGATGATTGAAGTTGGTTTCTAGGGCAACACCAGCTGGGTAGGAAGGGAAGGGGAGGGGGCACTCTCTAGAGGCTAGATGTCTTTTTCTAGACACCCCTCACACACACACAGCTGAAGAAGTAGTTTTGATGGGGAATGGGACAGGAATAAGAAGGAATGTGAGTTTCAAGGTCCTCCTTCATGGGTATGGGTCTCGGGAGAAGAGCTGAGGAAGAGGGTAGACACCAGCATCTGGACAGCGTTGTCCTGTTGGAGAGAAAGAGAGCATTCCCGGAGATTAGATGATGGTGGGTTTTTTGTCTGTTTGCTTATTTCGAGATGGAGATTCGCTCTGTTGCCCAGGCTGGAGTGCAGTGGTGCCATCTCTCAGCTCACCGAAAACTCCACCTCCCAGGTTCAAGCGATTCTGATTCCTCAGCCTCCCAAGTGGCTGGGATTAAACACCCGGCTAACTTTTGTACTTTTAGTAGAGATGGGGTTTCATCATGTTGGCCAGGGCAGGTTGGAAACTCCTGACCTTAGGTGATCCACCTGCCTCGGCCTCCCATAGTGCTGGGATTACAGGTGTGAGCCGCCACTGTGGGCCCAGATGATGGTTTTGAGACTTCCTCAGAACCGACACATCAAGAGGGACTGGACTGCAGGGGAGCTTGGCTAGGAAAACTGGGAATCAAGAAAAAAATGGTGGTTTTGAAGGAAAGAAAAGGGGACTGGCCAGGCGGAGAGACACCTCTGATCTCACCCCCGTTTCTGTCCCTCCCAACAGTGGGCGCTCTACCTGTTCCTGGTTAAATGCATTATCAGCATTTCCACCTTCTTACTCCTCTGCCTCATCGTGGCCTTCCATGCCAAAGAGGTCCAGGTAGGGCAGGCCCCGCCCCTAAGCCTTGCTCCCCCCAACCCCTGCAGTGTCCTGTCAGCTCACACTTTCCACTCTTCTGCTCCTCCTGATCTGAGTAATGAGGTTCCTCTGCCTCAGATGCTGCATCCACACCCTCACCCACCCAGATGAGCTGAACCAAGAGCAGACAGGCAGAACCTGCCGACCAGCCCTGCTCTTCCCCTGTGGCCCCCGGCCCCCCCTTGCACACTCATGGATGCTGAGAGTGCCCCTGCAGTGCTGATTCTGCCCCCAGGCCTCTGTCCACTGTGCCCCAGGCAACCTCAGCCTCCCAGATCCCTGTGCTCCAACATTCATCCCCAATCCAGTCCCGAAGCAACCTAAGGCCCCAGGGGTGCCCACTCCTTTTTTTTTTTTTTTTGGAGGCAGAGTCTTGCTCTGTTGCCCAGACTGGAGTGCAGTGGCACAATCTCTGCTCACAGCAACCTCTACCTCCTGAGTTAAAGCAATTCTTGTGCCTCAGTCTTGCAAATAGCTGGGACTACAGACACGTGCCACACCGCCCAGCTATTTTTTTATTTTATTTTAGTAGAAACAGGGTTTTACCATGTTGCTTAGGCTGATCTCCAACTACTGAGCTCAGGCAATCTGCCTGCCTTGTCCTCCCAAAGGGCTAGGATTACAGACTTGAGCCACCACACCCGGCTGGGTCCCAGGGGTGCCCACTCCTGATCACCCTATCTCTGTGCCAGAAACCTCCCCATGCCCCAGGCCCAGGAACTCTCCCCATCCATACTCCATCTTGGGTCTCACCCAGATACAACCCATCCCTCATTGCCCAGATCCTGTTACTCCATTCCTTTCCCCCTTGCCCCTCTCCTATCACAACTTTGCATATAGGATGGGGATTATTGGCCATGTGTGGCAATTCTCTGAGCAGTGCCTGGTACATAGAGGTGCTCAGTAAGCAGTGCACATTATCATCTTATCATAGAGCAGTTAAGTGGCCTGTAGCCCAGCGCGCCATTCCCCAGGGGAGGGACCCAGGCCTCAGTTTCCACATTTATAAAATGGGGGCAATAATAACAATCTCACTGGGCTGTAAGCATTTACTGAGCCACAACATGTGACTCAGTAAACGGGGTAGAGTGGTGCGTGGTGTATCCACAGTGCCCAGTACATGCTGACTTTCTTATTGCTTTGTGTGGGTTTTTTTGTTTGTTTATTTTGCGATGGAGCCTCACTCTGTCACCCGGGCTGGAGTGCACTGCCAGGATCTTGGCTCACTGCAACCCCTGCCTCCCAGGTTCAAGTGACTCTCCTACCTCAGACTCCCGAGTAGCTGGGACTACAGGTGTGCGCCACCATGCCCCGATTAGTTTTGTATTTTTCAGTAGAGAAGGGGTTTCACCATGTTGGCCAGGCTGGTCTGGAACTCCTGACCTCAGGTGATCCACCCACCTCAGCCTCCCAAAGTGATGGGATTACAGGTGTGAGCCATCGCCCTCGGTCCATGGCTTTGTTATTGCTGATATTATTATTATCATCACATGTGTCACCTGCAACGGAGTAGGAGCGAGCTCCAGGCATGTGGAATGCAAGCCCCAGGATGCAGGGGTTCTGTTTGGTTCACTGTGTGTCCTTAGCACATAGAACAATGCCAGGTACACAGTCGGCGCTCCCTGAGGCTGGAAGTGGGCCGGACCTAGTGGGGTGGGTGGTGGGGGAAAGGAGGAAAAAGTGGAGAGATGTCTTCCTTAAGTCCTGTCCCGCTCCCTCCCTATCCGTCTCCCTCCCAGCGCTATCTCCCTCGCTCCGGGCCAGTCAGGCACACCCACTTTATCTCAGGGCTCAGGCAGGCTCGAGCTGCCGCCTGACCCGCGCCTGACCTGCGCCTGAACCCTCCCCTCTCGGCCCCTTCCCGGCAGCTGTTCATGACCGACAACGGGCTGCGGGACTGGCGCGTGGCGCTGACCGGGCGGCAGGCGGCGCAGATCCTGCTGGAGCTGGCGGTATGCGGGCTGCACCCGGCGCCTGTGGGGGGCCCGCTGTGCGCGCAGGGTTCAGGGTCGCCGCTGACCTCGCCGCAGCCCTGGCCAGGATTCCTGAGCCAGGGGGAAGCGCTGCTGTCGCTGGCCATGCTGCTGCGCCTCTACCTGGTGCCCCGCGCCGTGCTCCTGCGCAGCGGCGTCCTGCTCAACGCCTCCTACCGCAGCATCGGCGCCCTCAACCAGGTCCGCTTCCGCCACTGGTTCGTGGCCAAGCTTTACATGAACACGCACCCCGGCCGCCTGCTGCTCGGCCTCACGCTCGGCCTCTGGCTGACCACCGCCTGGGTGCTGTCCGTGGCTGAGAGGTGAGAGTGCTGGAGGCCTAAATGCGCAGGGGAGGGAAGGGGAGCGGAGGGCACCCGGAACCCCGGACAACCACAGCAGCCATCCTGTACCGCCGTGCAGGTTGAGGTCCCCCTAGGACCAAGCAATGGAGAAAGTTCACACTTTGAACCCTTTTCCTCTTGCTGGCTAAAATTTGCCCACACTCCCATCAACTGGCTGAGAGGAACCAACAGACAAGCCCCCAGCCAAAATCTTACACGTGCAGCCTTCAGTCTCTCCAAAGGCACATGCAGACCCTAGAAAGCCGTTCCCTTCCGGCTCCCGGACCTCTACTGCCTCAGGTTTCCAGGCCATCTGTTCTGTCTCCAAACCTGTCTCTGGGACTTGGCTAAAGGGTTGCCTCTGCCTTGGAGGAAAGGGACATATTTTCCAAATTAGCACAGAATGCACTGTAGGTAGGTGCTTTCTGTGACCCTAGGAAGGGGATGATTTGGAGCTGCTCTGGAAAATAATTCCATGCCGGGAGTTGGAACTAGATCCTGGCTGTCAGCTGTATACTATGTAACCCCATGTCAGGCTTCAATTTCTATCCCTTACAGAGAAAGAGGTTGGGAGTGATCTTGGCCAGGGATTGTCAAAGTGTGGTTTCAGGACCAGCAGCATCACCTGGGAACTTGCAAATGAAAATTCTCAGGTCCCTTCCAGACCTACTGAATCATGGGGGGTAGGGCCAGCAATCTGCTTTAGCAAGCCTTCCAGGTGAGTCTATGGCCCACCCAAGGTTGAGAACCTCTGGTCTAGTATATGTGGCAAAGATCCTTGAGGGCAGGAGGAGAATGAGAAGCTCTAGCTTTAGATCTCTCCTCTCTTAGCCTCAGTTTCCACATCTGAAAAATGGGTGTCATGTTCCACCATCTGTAGTCTCCCTTGCAGTTCTTTTTTTTTTTGAGATGGAGTCTCTATCACCCAGGCTAGAGTGCAGTGGCACGATCTCTGCTCACTGCAACCTCTGCCTCCCAGCTTCAAGCGATTCTCATGCCTCAGCCTCCCAAGTGGCTAGGATTACAGGTGTGCACCACCACGCCTGGCTAAGTTTTTTTTTTTTTTTTTTGAGACAGACTTTTTTTGCTGTAGGCTGGAGTGCAATGGCATGATCTCAGCTCACCGCAACTTCTACCTCCCAGGTTCAAGTGATTCTTCTGCCTCAGCCTCCCAAGTAGCTAGGACTACAGGCATGTGCCACCATGCCCAGCTAATTTTTTTGTATTTTTAGTAGAGACAGGGTTTCTTCATGTTGGCCAGGCTGGTCTTGAACTCCCGACCTCAGGTGATCCACCCGCCTCAGCCTCCCAAAGTTCTGGGATTCCAGGCGTGACCCACTGTGACTGTCATTTTTGTATTTTTAGAAGAGACCATGTCACCATGTTCAGCTGGTCTCAAACCCCTGATTTCAAGTGATCCTCCTGCCTCAGCCTCCCAAAGTGCTAGGATTACTGTGCCCGGCCTCTGTCATGATTTTAAACTCCTTCACCTTCCAGGATCTTAGTTTTCCCAAGTGGGAAATTGGTCAGAATAAGGATTAATGAATAATCCCCCCATCATGTTTCTCATCTGAAAAATGGAGAACAGGGAGGAAGTTGAAGTTCAAAACTCCAGGGCACGGCCGGGCACGGTGGCTCACGCCTGTAATCCCAGCACTTTGGGAGGCCGAGGCGGGTGGATCACGAGGTCAAGAGATCGAGACCATCCTGGTCAACATGGTGAAACCCCGTCTCTACTAAAAATACAAAAATTAGCTGGGCATGGTGGCGCGTGCCTGCAGTCCCAGCTACTCAGGAGGCTGAGGCAGGAGAATTGCCTGAACCCAGGAGGTGGAGGCTGCGGTGAGCCGAGATCGCGCCATTGCACTCCAGCCTGGGTAACGAGAGTGAAACTCCGTCTCAAAAAAAAAAAAAAAAATTCCAGGGCAGAAATCCCGAAACTAGAATGAGGTGGGTGGGGTTTGTGAACAGCGCAGATTCCATCTTTGCTCCTAGAAACTCTAACCTGGTGGGCTGGGATGTCTGGGGCCCTCAGATTTGACGCTTTCCCTGCCAATGTTGCTGCAAGGGGCCTGTGGACACAGTTGGACAAATCGCAACATTTCAACCCTTCCATGGCTGGACCTAAATGTCTCCTTCTGTTAAGTGAAAGGAAAGGAAGGCAGAGTCCCACCAAGCCTCTTTAGAGTTCTTTCTGGTCCTGATAGGGCCACTTCTGGACCACACAGCATCTTTGTGGAAATTGGAAAAACACACTCCTTCCTCTGGGTGGATGCAGCTGCCTGTGAGGGTCTGACTGGGTTTTGGCCCCCTCTCGACTCTCCACCCTCAATTGAGTGCTCTGAATGCAGCAACCCAGGTAGCCTAACTGAGACCATACCGGCATGGAGATTGGCTAGACCCAGTCTAACATCCCAGAGTGGCTAAGCAACTTGCCCAGGTCACACAGCAGAAAGCCAGGCAGCCTTTCCAAAGCTCAGAACTGATTGGGCTTTTGTCCAGGTGATTCTTAGGACTGTGGGTGCATATGGGAAGGGGAAGAAAGCAGAGGGGAGGGGATGTCATGGAAACCTCCATGGTAGGGTTTCAGAACTAACCCACCCTTCCACATAGGCAGGCTGTTAATGCCACTGGGCACCTCTCCGACACACTGTGGCTGATCCCCATCACATTCCTGACCATTGGCTATGGTGACGTGGTGCCGGGCACCATGTGGGGCAAGATTGTCTGCCTCTGCACTGGAGTCATGGTGAGTACAACTCTCTTGGGGACCGATCCTTATCCCAAACTGGTCATCCTCGGACCCCAGGAAGCCATGGAGGCAGCCCATGCTCTCACGGACAGCGCCTAAGAAACTTGAGTGTCTGGGGCCCCCACAGGCACGTTCTCTCTTCAAGACCAAGATGCTCACCTGCAATCCCAACCTTGTGGGAGGCCAAGGTGGGAAGATCACTCAAGCCCAAGAGTTTGAGGTTACAGTGAGCTATGATTGTTCTACTGCACTCCAGCCTGGGTGACAGAGTGAGACCCTGTCTCTAAAAAATAAAATAAAAGCCAGGTGCGGTGGCTCACGCCTGTAATCCCAGCACTTTGGGAGGCCGAGGTGGGCGGATCACGAGATTGGGAATTCAAGACCAGCCTTGCCAACATGGTGAAACCCTGTCTCTACTAAAAATACAGAAAATAAGAAAATTAGCCGGGCATGGTGGCGGGTGCCTGTAATCCCAGCTACTTGGGAGGCTGAGGCAGGAGAATTGCTTGAACCCAGGAGGCAGAGGCTGCAGTGAGCCAAGATCATGCCATTGCACTCCAGCCTGGGCAACAAGAGCACGATTCCATCTCAAATAATAATAATCATAAATTAAATTAAAAATCAGACCTAGGAATCCAGCCCCTAAGTCCTTGCTCTCTCTAGAAGCTAGGGCTTCGTCCCTTATCCTCCTCAGGAACCCAGGCTCCTGACTTCGAAGCCCCATTTTCTTTCAGAACCCAGATATCATCTCCCAGCCTCCATCAAGGGGGCAGAGTCCAGTTATCAAGTGCATGCCTATGGGGCCAGGCTACCCAGGTCCAAATTCTGCTTCTGCCACTTCCTGGCTGGGGAGCTCAGGCGAGCCACATGATCTCTCTGAGCCTCACTTTCCTCATCTGTGAAATAGGGATGCTGAGCTAGCGACTCCTCGTGGGCTTGCAGAGATGATTAATGGGTTCAACCATGTAAAGCACTTCCAACAGTGCCCAGCCCACAGGAAGTGCTCAGTAAAAAGGTCTGGGGGTGCCCAGGCATCTAGTCACCCCACAGCAGCTCCTGTGCCCTTAAGGATGAGGCAGAGGCTCTGCAGCCCCTGAGTCAGCCTCTTCCTGAACCCTGACATCTACCTTCTTACCTCCATAGACCCAGTCACTCAGGTCCTCCCGCACAGCCCTGGCCCCCTCTAGAGACCAGAACCTAATGCCTTGACCTTCACCTCCCTACAAGATCTGGTTCCTGCCACCCTCAGGGATCCAAGCCACCAGCTCCTAGCCCAGATGTGGGCCCAGGAAGGGCATATTGATCCCCCCAATCCCTGGGTGCACAAGTGAAGGATGTGGTGACCTCCACTCCCCCAGTGGTGAGTCTTTGGAGCAAGGGAAGAGGGGCAGAGACTCAGTCAGGGACCTGCAGGGCCACTCAGGACCTCCCTCATTAGACAAAAGGAGAAACAGAAACCTAGAGAGATGCTCACAGCCTGCTCCTGGCAGAAAGGCTCCACGGCATGGCTGAGTCATCATAGCTTACTTTTACTGAGCACATACTCTGTGCCAGCCTCTGCCCTAAATACGAAATCCACTGAGTAACCCTGTGAGGCCCTGCCCATTTCACAGATGAGACACTGAAATACAGAGAGATTAAATAAGTTGCTCAGAGCTGGCCTTGGAACCCAGGCAGTCCCCAGTGTTTGTGACTGGAAGTGGTTCTGAGTGATCAAGAGCTGAAACTATAGGGTGTGGGATCCTTCCAAGGAGGACTTATTCTAACGCGGGGACAGGTGAGCAGGTGCTATGAGCAGCTAGGGATTGGCAAGGCCTTGAAGGACCAGGAGCATTGGGAGAAGAAAGGGAGGAGAATGTACAGAGGAAGGTGCTCAGGGAGGGCAGTGTGGATGGAGTCAGGGCTGAATTGTCTGGGTGGGAAGCGTGGAACCTGGAAGGCCCTGGGAGCCAGGCTGAGAAGTTCAGGGCATTGGAAG